ATTATGGGTGGGATATGGAGGGGGATTTTTTGGGGGGGGGGAGTGAGGAGGATGGTGGGGATGGTGAGAAGGATGAGGATGGTGAGAAGGATGAGGATGTTGATGAGAAGGATGAGGAGGTTCATGAGAAGGATGAGGAGGTTCATGAGGAGTATGATGGAGAGGCTAATGGAGAGGGTAGAGAGGACAACGGCGAAGACACTGCTGCTGCTGCTGCTGCTGCTATTACCTCTGCCGAGAACCCGGATACCCACGAGGACGAGTCCAACCAGCAGACGGGCATGATAGAGCCCGGCAGCTATATCATCATCGACCCCTATGCCGACAAGGCGCCGCCCAGCTACAACAACAACAACAATAGCACTTACAACGACAACGACAACGACAGCGAGGCTAAGCAGAACCCCAACCCCATTCCCAGCCGCGGCCACAGGTACCATCGCAACCGACACGGCGACTTAGAGATGCGCATCTCCAACTACGACGAGTTCGACACCGACAGCACCGAGGATATGCTCAACGACCCCAACAACCGGGCCCCTACGCCCCCACGTGCCCCCCGCGAGTGGCCCCGCGACCGCTGGCGTAAGGTCCCCGTGTGGATGCTCGACGAGAACCGCAAGCCACTTTCACTCAGCTGGTGCGCCAAATTCGAAGTCGCAAGTCTCCCTGATAGTAGCGACAGCGACAGCGACAGCGACATCAACGACGTCGATAGTAGCAACAACAGCAACGGCAACAGTAACGTCAATAGCACCAACAACGGCGGCAATGGCATCGACATCAACACTAACCCGTCTACCGTTTCACCTACACCGTCCACCACCTCCATGCCCTCACTCGGTCTAGTGAATGACGATGACGAGGACAACAACAACGAGGACAACGACCACGACGACAACGACCACGACGACAACGACCATGACCACAACGACCACAACGACAACGACAAGGTTAACAACAACAACGTCAACCCCTTCGCCGACCTCGAAAAAGCCCTCATCAAACTCGCCCTCAACCACAACTCCAACCTAAATCCCAACTTCAACCTCTCCCCCAACCTAACCCCCCCCATTGCAGGCACAATCCTCCACACCTCCCTCTGGCCCTCTCTCGTAATCGAATGCTCCCGGCACTCTTCGCTCAACATCCGCGGCATGCGCCGTGTCATGATGAACAGGTGGTTCTGTATTTCGCGGCATGCTGTGAAGATTGTGTTGCTTGTTTGTTTGCGGAAGGATACTAAAGGGCAGACGCTGGTTGTCGAGCAGTGGGAGGAGAGGTATGTTTGGCCGGATCGTGAGGAGGGTGAGGAGGAGGATGAGGAGGAGGGTGAGGATGATGAAATGGCAGGGTGGCGCCTCCAGCCCGTCCGAAGCGGCGTAGTTACCATCAAGCTGCGCCTAAACAAGGACGGGTCGAAAGAGTATGAGGTGGAGGGTGAACCGCTGGTGTTGCGGTTTGAAAAGTTGTTTCGACGGCCTATGGTTTTGGGGTTTGGTGAGGGTGAGGAAGAGGAGGGGGGTTGGACGAAGAGGGATGTGGTTCTGGGGGAGAGGGAGTTGAGGGGGTTTGCGGAGGGGGTGTGGGGGAATGTCTAGATTCTTTTGTTGTCGAGGGTTTGACTTGGCTATTGTGGAATTGGGATGAGTTGGTATTTGATGGATGAGGAGGATGGCTGTCGATCTGAGGGATGAATAAGAGGAGAAGGATAACGGGAGATGTTGAGGAAGGAGATTAATAGGGTATGGGATGGATAAAGTGTAGACGTTGGTTTGGGCTGGTTTGGCTGGACGGTAAGGATATATTTGTCCGCGCCGGAAGACACCCGTCGATATGACAGGTGTCACAGCTGTTGAGTGCCCGTTGATTGGAGGCCGAACGTTGAGTTTGTATGTACAAGTAACTGGAGCTTGTAAGATAGATAGATGTACGAAATGTAATGCAACAACGCTCAATGTACTCTAATTATTCCCAATGTGTTCACAATTGTCAGTAACCACTTAGATAACAAATCTATTCAACTGCCACCACCCATTGGTATATATCTCTTCTCAGCTAACAAAATCTACTTCAGAGTAACCAACTCCTCCGCACTCGTCGGGTGAATAGCAACACAGCTATCAAAGTCCGCCTTCGTCGCGCCCATCTTCACAGCCACCCCAAACCCCTGCAACATCTCCCCACTGCCCAACCCCAAAATATGCAACCCCACCACCTTCTCCTCCGGCCCGGCACAAATCAGCTTATACGCCGTCGGCCCCTTCTGATCCGGCTCCATCATGGCATAGTACATCGCCGTAAAGTTCGTCTTGTAGATCGTCAGATTCTCCCTTCCATACTTCTCCACCGCCTCCGCCTCCGTCAATCCGATGGAGCCCACTTCCGGGTGCGAGAACACCACCGACGGGATGTTGGCGTAGTCCAGTTTCAGCGAGCGGAACTGTTCCGGGCCGAACAGCCGGGCCGCCAGCCGGCGACCCGCCGCGATGGCTACGGGGGTCAGCTCGACCTGCCCCGTCACGTCGCCCAGCGCAAAGATGTTGTCGACGTTGGTGTTTTGGTAGCCGTCCACGACCACATACCCGCGGTCGTTGACATCCACGCCGGCGGAGGCGAGCCCCAGGTTGGCGGTTGCGGGCGTGCGGCCCACGGCCCAGATCAGGTGGTCTACGTCTGACAGCACCTGCTCGGCGCCCTTTTCGTTGTAGTGAATCGTGAGTTTCCCCGACGCGGCGTCTTTGTCGACCTTGGTAGCGTTGCTCTGCTTGTGCAGCTTCACGCCGAGGCGTTCGTATTCTTTGGTCACGCCCTCCTGGATGATGGGGTCAAAGTGTCGGAGGAAGGTGTCGTGGCGGATGAACAGGTGGGTTTCGACGCCGAGGGCGTTGAACATGCCGGCAAACTCGACCGCGATGTACCCGGCCCCGACGAGGGCGACTTTCTTGGGCAGGGTGTCGATGTCGAAGAAGCCGTCGCTGTTGGTGCCGAAGTCGGCGCCGGGGATTGGGGGGGCGGGTGTCGGGTGGCCGCCGACGGCGAGGAGGATTTTTTTGGCGTGGACGAGGGTTTTGCTGCCGTCGTCGAGGGTGACTTCGACTTCGTTGCGGGAGAGAACTTTGGCCCAGCCATGGACGTACTCGACCTTGTCGTTGCCTAGGTTGCGCTCGTAGATGCCGTTGAGGCGGACGATGTAGGCGTCGCGTTTCTTTTTGAACGTGGTCCAGTCGAAGGGGGCCGTTTCTTGGAAGGAGAAGCCGTAGGACTTGGCATCGTGGAAGGTCTCGGCTATCGCGGCGGCGTTGTAGGTGACTTTTTTCGGCACGCAGCTGTTTCTGTTAGTCTAAGGCTCAAGACGAGGAGGAGAACCAGAACAAGAATAGGAACAGAACGATAGCGGGACAACCTACCCAACGTTGACGCATGTCCCGCCCAGGCGATTCCCCTCAATGACCATCGCCTTGACACCAAACTTACCAGCGGCCGCGCGCGCAGAAGCGAGGCCGCCGCTTCCGCCGCCTATCACGAGGAAGTCGGTCTCCTTGGAAACGGGCGCCATAGCGAGGGATGTCTGCGAAAAGTGGCGAGATAGCGTGCTGATGCGGCCGGCTGCGGGTAGGGACGAAACCAATGGACGTCGGGCGAGTCGTGAAAAGGCTTGCATGGAGAATCAAACTCGTCTCTATGGCGAGCAGGTCCTAGAATATGGCGGGGGGGGTGGAGGGGCTATTATACCTTACAAACTACTGTGGTACATACAACCTGACAAAGCTAGGTCGGCCGATACGCAGCACATCAGATGGTTGACAAATCCCACCTGCCCAGCAGGGAAGACCGGCTTTCGATGGCGCAACTTGCAGCGTGGGGCCCGGTCGAGGCCCGCGAGGCGCCCGGTCGAAGCTCGGAATGGATGCGAAAGGCGCAATGCGATTCCAAATCAGGTTACATACAGTGTTTGGGTTATTCAGCAGCAGGAGAGGTCATTAGAGGATATAGATTGCTCAGTAAGCCATCTGCTGTGTACCCAAGAGTAGATTGAAGCCCATACTTGGAATCGCTCCAACGCTGCTCTTTGGGGACATCGCGGGGTAAATTGACCCCACTTGAATTTGAACGTCAATTCACTCATGACAAATTGTGCTAGGTCAGGGTTAGGGTTGATGAACTTCCTCGGCAGCATTAATGAACTTCATTGTTTACTCTTGAGTCTTGAGTAGGAGACCGTATTTCAACTGAGAGTCCCTAAAGTAAAACAGGCTTCACTGTTACAAGACAACTAGATGTGGGTTGTCTAAGTGTTCCATATCTCTTTATCCCTCAACCAATTTATCTCAATTTTCTCCCATTTTATTATCATTTTCTAAACTTTTTAAATCACCAAACACCAACTACATCCTCGCCCAAGATACACACACCACCATGCCACCATGACCCTCCTCCCCCTCCTCAAAGAAAACTCCCGCACCCTCAAATCCCTCTGCGCCTCCTGCGGCCTCCCCAAAACCGGCGCCAAAACCGTCCTCGTCAGCCGTCTCCGCGAAGCCGCCCAACAATTCCAGCCCACCCCCCCCTCGGCCCGGATCCTAAGCATCGACCTCGGCCTCAAGAACTTTGCTTTCTCTCTACTCACCCCGGCTCCGCTGCCCAAGACGACAAAGAGCAAGACGAAGCAGAAACCATTGCCTAGCTTGTCGTTCGCGGACCCGGCTAAACCCTCCGCCTTGCTCACTTCCCCGGTGCATCTGCATGCCTGGCACCGTTTGGACTTGACACTCCCTTTGGACGCTGCTCAGTCTTCATCACCATTACCACCCACACCACCAGCCCGGAATCGAAAATCCAAAAAAGCCGAAGCTGAACCCGAAGAAGACTCAACCCCCACCAAATCCAAACGCAAGCCCGAACCTTCAACGTCAACATCAACAGCATTCACCCCCACCACCCTAGCCTCAACAACCGCCACCCTAGTCCAAACCGTTCTCCTCCCGCTCCGCCCAACCCACATCCTCATCGAGCGCCAACGCTTCCGCACCGGCGGTGCCTCTGCAGTCCTGGAATGGACGGTGAGGGTCAATCAGTTGGAGGCGATGTTGCATGCTGCTTTTGCTATGGCGAATTTTCATGCACATGCCACCGAGATTGAGATTGATATGGCTGAAGGGGGGAAGGGAAAGAGGAACGGGGTGGATGGGGGTGGAAAGGTGGTGGTGGAGAGTGTCACGCCAAAGGTGGTGGCGGGGTATTTGTTTCCGTCGGCGGGGGCGAAGGATGAGGATGGGCTTGTAGAGGGGGTTGTTGATGAGGATGAGCTTGGGGATGAGGAAGACACAGAAGAAGAGGAGAGTGCGGCAGACAAGAAAAAGAGGAAGAAGAAGGCTACGTCGGGGGCGGCGGCTGCCTATAAACTGCTGAAAAAGGAAAAGGTGAATATGCTGAGTGAGTTTCTTGCAACGGAGAATGATGGAGGAGGGGCCGGGCTAGTCAAGGCGGATGGGAAACAGGCGAAAGAGGTGGTTGGGTTGTTTTTGGAGGCGGTGGAAAGGAAGAGAGTGGGCAAGAGAAGGGCGAAAAGGAAAGAGGGGGAGGAGGAGAATTACGCGGTGGAGGATATGGTTAGCAAGATGGATGATTTGTCGGATTCGGTGTTGCAGGGCATGGTGTGGTTGCAGTGGCAAAGGAATTTGGAGGGGTTGATTCAGGAGCGGCCGGAGCTGTTGGAGCCTGTTGAAGAGTGAATGGAGTAAATGGAGGTGATAATCAGAGATGAGAGATGAGATGGTGTTGATACTGGTGGAGAAAACAAACAAATAATACCGTCAAAAATTCAACTCACCCACCTTCCCTCCCATCTCCCACAACCCCCTTATAACCCCCCCGCGCGCAGTTCTTCCCAACCGCCTCCCCAAAACCAACACCGGCCCCGGCCGGATGGCGTAGTGGGGAGGCTGTGGATGTTTGAACTAGTACACCACAGAATCTGTGCGCCCGGGTTCGAGCCCGGTTGTTGCACTTGTAAAACCCGCTTGCGAGTTTTCGTAGCTGTTCTACTATGCCTCGCCCTCTGTATAGGGGGGACTGTGAGAAGTAGGGGGTGAGCTTTTTGACTTTTTGACTTTTTTTGGACTCTTTTGGTTGGACTTTATTTTTATGGGTTTGAGAAGGGGGATTATAACAGAAGACCAGCCACGGTGTATGTCCATGTAATTACAGTCAACTTCAGCGAGTGATATATTGTCTCCCCGTTGACCTCGCGACGGTGGGTTGATTAGTATGTTCGACTGTTTTACATGTTCTTGACTCAACCTGCCGGCTGCGCATAATATCAGGGTATGCCAAACTTTTGATGGTGCAAAGTCTTCAGAACGGAACCTGAAACCGTACCGCCAAATAGTCAACATCAAACGTGCGCGCAATGATCTCTGACATCCGCCCCTAATCACTATAATAATAATCATCATACCTCCCCTCCTCCCGCTGCGTACTCACCCACTCCTCGCTCGCCAACCCCCTCACCATCCTCCTCTTCAACCCCGCCGCATCCTTATGCCAATCACACGCATAATCACACTCCGGCACCTCCTCCTCCCCAAAATACCTACAAATCGCCGCATGCCGACACCCACTCGTATCCTCACAATACGCCACCAACCGGTTCAAACTCTCCACCCGCGCCTTTTTATTCCCGCTATTCGCCTGCCTCCCAAACTCGGCAACCCCCCGAGCAATACTGCCACTGTCACGGTCTCGGCCACCACTGCCAGATTCCCGCATCACCATATTACACACCCGATCCCTGTCCTCCCTCGCATAGTACAAAAAACAATAACTCGCCTTCCCATCTCGCCCCGCCCTCCCCGCCTCCTGGTAATACCCCTCAAAACTCTTCGGCAACCGCCAATGCACCACAAACCGCACATTCTCCTTATCAATCCCCATCCCAAACGCCGTAGTCGCCACAATAATATCATACCCGGGCTCATTCGCTATCCACCGCGCTAGCGTCATCTCCTTCACCTCCTTGGCTAGCTTCGCATGGAAAGGGCGAGCACCGATATCCTCGCACCGCAGGGCCGCGGATAGGGACTCGCATTCGTCGCGCGAGGTGGTGTAGATGATGCCGGGCACGTTGGTGGTGCGTTCGGCGGTGGTGGCGTCCAGTTCGGCGCGGCGGTCCGGGGCGTCGCGGCGCGTGTAGACGCCTTTGAGCCAGGTCACGAAGTCGTCGAAGCGGTCGTCGGCGCTGTCGCTGGTGAAACGGACTTCGAGGTGGAGGTTGGGGCGGTGGGCTGTCATGGTGAAGGTGCGAAGTCGATCGGGCGCAGTCTGGGTAGGGTCCATCGGGCGTAGTCGCAGAGTGGATAGGATGTCCTGGCGGACTTGGGCGTTGGCGGTAGCGGTCAGGCACATGATGGGGACATCGGGAAAGGTTTCGCGGAACCAGGAGAGCCGCTGGAAGTCGCGGCGGAAATCGTGGCCCCATTCCGAGATGCAATGGGCTTCATCGACGGCGATGCGGGCGAGCTGTTTTTGTTTGTGGACGAGCTTGAGGCGGTCGCGGAAGCGGTCCAGGGAGCAGAGCTCGGGTGTTACGTAGAGCAGCCGTGTGCGCGGGTGGCCCGTGGCGAGGTCTTGGTAGATGAGGTCGCGCTCCGAGAGGGGGATGTTGCTGTTGAGGGTGCGGGCGTCGACGTTGGCTGCGCGGAGGGCTTCGACTTGGTTCATCTAGGTTGGTGTAAGTGGATCAACTTTATCGTGAGTATGATGGGTTGTAATCCGACAACTTACCATAAGACTAAGAAGTGGGGAGATGACGATGGTAACTGGACAAAGAGTCAGTACATACGTTCAAACCAAGTTGACGGTTGGTGACCTACTTCCTGTGTTGATGACGGCGGGCAGCTGGAAGCATAAACTCTTGCCGAACGACGTAGCCGCCTGGACAAAGACATCTTTCCCATCGAGAGCGGCGAGAATAATCTCGCGTTGGTGTGGTCTGGATATGTTAGACTCTACAATCTTGACTTTATTTTGGGGTGGTAAAAATTAATTCTTCAATTAATTCTTTGCGATGAAGTACTCACCTAAAAGAAGTCTTGTTAAATTGTCGCCGCAGTGTAAAGTCAATGTCCTGCAGCGAGTCGCTCCTCGAAAGGCCGGGGGGCATGATGTCCGTATTTCCTCGCTTCCTTTCAACAATCACGGCATGACGTTTATTTCATGTCCATCAAACGCCCCTGATGTTGCATTTCGGAGAATTTCCGATCCAACCCTGATGTTGCGTTCAGACCTGAGGTTGTCGTTGAATGCCTGATTCGGCCGAATATTGGAGCTTGCCTGGCTTAATCCGGTGCTGCAAACTAGGTAACAGAAGGCACGCAAATAGGCACAAACGAGAAACGAAAGAACGCAAAAAGTCTGAACCCGACGATGTTTGGGGGCCAAATAAGACCGGAATTTAACTCGTACCCCGAGTCTTGGATTACCTTTCGAATCTGTCGACTTGTTCAGTGATGTTTGGAGGTTGAATTGGAGGCCCCACCAGAACAGAGCTTCACAAGCAGGGTTAGGGTTAGAATCTGAAGTCCGACACCACCACTTCGTCCGATCTCATGGAACCCCTTTCGGTGGCACCCTAAAAGGTCAGACCGGCGCCGAACATCTGAGCGAGGGTCTTCCCTCGAGCCCCTGCCAAGACCTTTTCCAGAAGCCTCGTGCTGTCGCGTGAGACTGATCGTGGGTTTGGTGTAATAACATGTCAAGTCGACATCTTCCTAGCAGAGATGGGCATATTTCGTTGAATTATAGACGGGCTATTGAGGAACCGGACAGCGTCATGGAGGAGCATAACGTTCATCGTATCTCTGTACCGATTCCCTTCCTCCACTGGGGCCGATCGATTGGGGGAATTCCACGTGCAAAATAGACCGTCGGAACGCCACAGGACGCCCAATCGGCGCCCTCTCCCGAGAGTCCTCCTCTCTTGCCTCCAACGTCACGTCTGTTTCGTTTCACGCCGAAACGCTGGCGTTTTGTGATGGTTCGGCGCATCCAATGCAACGCTGTCGAGAGCCAATCAGTCCCGATCCGGAGCGCGTATCAACGTCGTGTTTTCCTTCTGCCTCCCTGGGCTTGAGTGAGCAACTGAAAGGGGTCGATGTCAGAACACGGACGGATGGGAACTCGGAAGTGTGCCTCGTCCAGGTTCTGCAGCAACAACGGCTTTTTGTAACCCTGCTCGCTCTGCTGAGAGACAAGTTCTCGGCTGCGAGGATGCTCCATGCACGCCCCGTGTTGTCCTGAAAAAGGGACCCGACACGGGCCACACAAAGCGGGGTCCCCCCCAACCGACCAACCGTCGGGTCCCATCTTCACCTTCGATGCGCGCTGCCAATGCATTGGATTTCTTCGCGGGCGCACCCCAGGCTGCACAACCCTTGTCAATTTGTGACATGCACCCCAATGTGCCCCTACACTAACCCCTATATTGGGCGTTTTGCGACCTGACATGGGGGGCGCCGCCCGAGACGACGTCCCAGAGAAAGCCGCAACACAGCCCGCCCAGCCCAGGCCAAACCCACCCGCTCGATCTGTCACTGCGGTTAAGGTGGGAAAGGGCAGTTTTTTTTTCGACGACTTCCGCTTCCGAACGGGAGAAGCTCCGACGACAGTCCTTCTTTTTTCCTCGTGTTTTTGCTTCCCATTCCCATCGTCGACTTCAACTATTCGCCCCGTCTTGTCGCTACCTACCTTACCCGCCATTGGACGCTCGATTCCAACGTGCCGCGTTGCGTTGCTGTGCCCTTTTTTGGCGGTCGACCGTCTTGTCTTGTTTTTTTCTCACTCACCGCTTGGGGGTTGTTGTTCGATTCGACCTGGTCACTTTTTTTTTCTCCGCTACGGTCCAAGTTCCCCAGGGCCCCTGTTCCGACCGACCGACCCGCGGAGCAAGGAGGCTGGTCTCGCCATGAACCCGCCCGACCGGCTGGTACCACTTCGCCGACCGGCCTGATAAAAAAAAAAAAAGAGATAAAAAGTAGATATCCCTACAAAAGTCCTGGCTTTTCTGGACAGTGGACGTACAGGGCGCGTACCCCTTCCATTCCACGGGATCCCGCAGTCCTCGCTGCATCTCGCGAGTCATCCCCCTCGGCGGGCTGAGCGAGGACGACCCAGCCAACCGACAATAAAAAAAAAAAACCTCAGGCAAAAAAGGAAGAAGAGATGGACTACCCCCGAGGCCTCCCCGACAACCCGGCCCAAGCCCGGCGGGCCGTCGCGGCCGCGGCGCTCGCGAACCCGACCCCGCCGCCTCCGGTCCCGAGTCTGCGCGATGTGCCGTCGTCATCGACCCTCTCGGCGGGGCAGCCCCTCTCGCCGAGCCAGGTGCTGGCCATCGCGAAGGAGGCGATGCGCGTGGCCCACGAGAATGAGGCCAAGGCGGCTGAGGCGAGCGGTGTTGTGGGAAGCACGCCGTTGACGCTGAAACCGGGGTTGACGGTGGATTTGAGTAGGAAGAAGATTCAGAATTTGCCGGAGGAGGTGGTGGATGTTATTAAGGATGAATTGGAGCGGTAGGGATTTTCTGTTTTCTTGATTCTTTTGGACTGGCCAGAGAGGGTGCGAGATATGGATGTGGTGAAGGTTAAGCTAATGCGATCGGGTTTCCAACAGACTTGCGCTGTCTCACAACTACCTGGAGACATTCCCGACTCGATTTTCCGAATGCACCTCGTTGCGGTACCTGAACGTCAGGCAAAACAAGATCAGGGAGTTTCCGCTTGCCGTGCGTGACTGCCGACTCCCGCCCCCCCCGACATATTTCTCTGGGTATCAACTGACAACTGACACGGCCTGCTTAGTTGTGCGATCTGAAATCCCTCGAAATCCTCGACCTCGGCCGAAACAAACTACAGGTGCTCCCCCCCGAGATTGTCAAGTTATCGTCCCTCAAGGTTTTCTCGATACCGCAGAACAAAATTACACATCTGCCGCTATGCATGGCGGATATGCCGTCATTGTCGGTGGTGAAACTGGAAGGAAACCCCCTCCAATACCCGCCGCCGGAAATATTACAAGTGCAAGGAAGCGGCGGGGCCGGCGATCGGTCTGGGAAAGAGAACGAAGAGGTGGCAGCGACGGCGGTGATTAAGAAATTCCTCAAGCAGGAAGCTAGCGGGCGGTCCGACTCGCCGGGGGAGAGCGGCACGGAAGGTACGGAGACGCCACGGCCCACGATCAAGCGAGTCTTTAGTGGGCGATTCCCGATCAAGGTCAATGGCAGTGAGATTGCGGACCTCCGGTCCCCGGCTCCGCCTCGAGCACCCCCGATCCCGACACGATCGCACTACCGCGGGCTCTCGCAGCAGAATACGACCCAGCGCCGGCCCGGGGCGATGCCGCTGACGATTGGCAACCCAAACGAACGGGTGCGCAGTAACTCGGAGACCATCATCCAGACATCGAGCCGGGAGCGGTCCGAGAGCAGGTCGCGGCGGATGGGCATTGTCTCGAAGCGATCAGAGCTCAGTACGCTGGAGGAAATCGACGGCAGCAACCGGTTCAGCCACTACCGCGGGCTCAGCCACGGGTCGGCGATGCAAGGCAACGGGCCGTCCGCGCTACAGGCGCAGGTGAACAGCCCTAACAACGGGGGCAGTCCGGCCGAACCCGCTCTCCAGCGGCCCGTGTACATCCGGCGGCTGTCGGTGTTGCCAGAACGACGGCGAGAGTCCAAACTGTTCGACCCGGTACTGGAAGCCGCCAAGGGGATTCTGTACTCTGTCTTCCAGATCCACCCCATGATCAAGACGCTGGTCAACCTGACCAACGACGGCACAACGCGGCGGTCGAACCTCGAGATTGTGGTGTACAACACCGAGGCACACGTGGTGCAGCTGGAAATTGAGATCCAGCGCCATGAGCAGCAGCTGGGGGACGACGGCTCCTCAGGGCCCAAGGAGAACGAGCACGTTCAGCGGGCGTGTCTGACGCTGATCAGCGCGTACACGCACGTGTGCTCGCTGCTGATGAGCAACGTCGACCTGTTTCTAGACAACGGCGACCCGAGGTATTTGCGGACCCTGTTGACGCAGCTCTATAATAGCATCATGGAGCTGCGTGTGACGTGTACGCAGGCCGCTCCCGAGGCCATCCGTCAGCACCGGGCCGTCCCATCCTTCTCTCGGCCGGATCTAGTTGGCGAGACGATCAAGCCGCGCTCACGAGAGAACTCGGTCACGCCGACGGCCGACCGAATCGTGAACCGGTCTCGCAACGGCACGTTTGTGTACAACCCGAGTAACCTGCGGGTAGCCACGGACGTGTCGATGCCATACATGATCAACGCGTCCGGACGGCCGACCATGACGGGTGCTGCGACGCCGCGGTCCGGCGAGTCCTTTGCCTCGGCTACCTCGGGCACCCGCAATCTCTCGGCCGACTTCACCGAGGAGGACCGCATGTTCGAGCGCATCTTCCTCTCCCTACACAAGACCACCGAGCTGGTTATGCAGGTCCTCCCAACCATGAACACCCAGTTCATGTCCTCAATGCGCGCCACGGCCACTACCATCACCAACCACAACACTGCGCAACAACAGCAAAACCAACCGCTACGTTCGCCTGATGACCACCGCATGCAATGCTGGAAAGCGCTCGTCGCTAAGTGCAACACGTCAATCCAGCAGACCGAAGGGCTCAAAGCGCGACTATCATCCATCAAACTCAAGGAGCCCGGCATCCGGACGCAGACTTCCTTCTGGCGCCTCTGCAACAGCTTCATCGATTCCTGGTACGTCCTAATCAAAAAGATCATGCAACTACAAAGCGACGTCCAGCTGCCCGCCGACACCAAAGCCCGTCTCCGGCCCATCCAAAAAAGCATGAAGGACACCTGCGACCTGATGATGTCCTCACCATGGGCGTATCTCCTCCGCCAGGGCGGAGGAACATTCTCATCCTCCTCGTCATCCTCTGAGCTTGTGGGCGCCGGCGGCGGGCTTATCACCTCGCCGTACATGATGAACGCGGCTCATCTCGCTACGCCGGTACAACAGTTACCCATGACTCCACAAAGCGCCGCGTTGGGGCCGGCCGTGCAGGCGACGGTGCCGTCGACACCGCAGAGCGCGTCGTTTTCCCTGGCCTTTTCCGGAGTGTTTGAGCGGGACCGGGACCGCGACCGGGACCGATCAGACACCATGGCTTCCTCGCTGGGTGGCAGTAACAGCAGTGCAATAGGAAACAGCTTCAACGGAGGAACCCAACTACCCGGCCCCGGCGGCAGCGCAGGTGTAGGAGGAGGCATAGGAGGAGGATACAACAGCAACCTGCCCTCGCGCAGCGGCACCATGAACTCCAGCTCCACAGCCAGTCTGACGGCGTCCAGCGCCAACTCGATCAGCAGCCTGGGCTCGCAGGACGGGGCTGTGACGCCCAGTTCGGCGTTGAGTCCTGGTGCCGGGCCGTTGGGGCCGCTGCCGTTTCGGTTGAATGGGGGGAGTGGGAATATGAAGGTTGTTGGGGGGTTTTAGGGGGTGGTGTCTTTGATGGAGGGACGATGACGGCGACGACGACGACGACGACAGCAAGGATTGGGGGGGGGATGAATACGCTACAAGAGAAGGGAGGGACGTGCGTTCTGGGATATGAATGAGATGGATCGATAGATTACGGATGGGATACTACGGATCGGATTGGACGCGGTCGGTAGGAATGGAATGGGAATGGGGACAGGAGGGGGGTGGGTTATTAAACGGACTTCTGGGATATATGGACGCGCATAGGGCGTCCTTTTTCTCTTTTTTTTTTACTTCTACCTTTCTACTTCCTTGAGCTTTCTTTTCTTTCCCGTCATCTTATCCGGTTTTTTTCTCTCTTTTTTTTTTTGCGCACGGTCTGTATGCCTGTACGTCTTCACACATTTTTTGCGGTTGACTGGCCTGGCGTCTTCTTCGAGCGGTGCATGGCGTTTTTGTTTTTGCTCTCCTCTTTTTGGGGAGTCTTTTTCTTGTCTTCTTTTTGGCATGTCTGGTCTGGTTCTTCGGGAAACTTGGGGGGAAGGAAAGGAAAGGAAAGGAAAGGGGAGCATAGGATATCCGTAATGTCTTGTTTTTGGTTCGTTTGGTCATTGGTTCACTCTGGCTCTCTGGATGCATTTGGGTGGGGGGATGACGGGGGGATTATGGGGATGATCGGGGGTTGTGGAAAAGGGAAAGGAATGAAAGGAACAGAACCGGGATGGGGTCGGGGGAAGGAAAGGAGGGAAAGGAGGAATAGAAGGAAAGGAAACGAAGGATGGTTGCTGACAAGCCGGGCTATGTCTTGGGCAAGTTTTCTGAGTAACGAACGGCCGTGATGAGCGTGTACCTGATCAAAACTGCTGTGGGTTGTGTATTGCACAGCGAGTTTGGCGGGGCGATTAGGATACCGATGTATTGTACTTGTACTGTACAGCGTATTGGCGTTTTGCGACTTTGTCTAAGCATGGGGTGCTCTCCGAGTCTGCACTTTTCTCCGTCGTGAAGTCGAACCTGTGGATGGCCGATGTGGTGGTGTGTCTCAAATGCTCGATTGGCTGGCTTTTGTATGTATGTCCTACACTAGTGACTGTGACCAACGACAGGTCGGTGTCGTGCATATCTAGGCTGCCTCTCATATGCTGTGCTTGGTTGGTTTCCAGACCGCAACTCAGGTTCTCAACCACTCACCATTCACTTGCTCGTCACGAAGCAAATCACCCCGCATCAATTGTCTCGCTCTTACACTTCATCCGTCCCGCGAAATGCAGGCTGGTCAATTGGGATAGGACTGCGCGAGTGCATGATCAGAGTATAGTTAGTTGTTTGGTGTGCGATTCCAATTGACGATTTTATTTTATTTTCATTTTCGACTTTGCTTCTTTATTTCACACGCATACACACACATCCATCTCGAAGAAACGATACAACCACCAAAATGCCCTCCACCGTCGCGCCAATGCGGCTCACCACGGCGTCCATCAGCCCGGCGCAACCCTCGGCGCCGTCTGTGACGAATACAACGGCCACGGCGGTTTCGCCTTCGTCGTTTACGAGCCAGTCGCCGGGCAGCAGCCATTATACCCACGACAATAGCAACGGTACTACCAACGGCAATGGCAATAACAACGAACGACCGAGGCGTGCCAGCTTGTTCTCGTTCTTCTGGTCGGGGTCGTCAGGGAGGTCGCCGGCTAGTGTGAAGCAGAATCAGGAGCAGAGTACGTTGGAGGATGGACGGGAGAATGCGCGACGGAACGGCTACCAGCCCGTGAGCTCGCCGTCGGTTGCGTCGTCGTCGGTGTCGGTATCTGTCTCGACCTCGACGGCTTCGCCGGGGTATCAGCTTAGTTCTCAGGGTGTGTTTTCACAGCAGCAGCAGCATCAGCAACAGCAGCAGCATCAGCAACAGCAGCAGCATCAGCAACAACCACAGCAACAGCATCCTCCTACGCCAAGCATCGCCGCATCGACTACCCCCTCAACAACAACCACCACCACCACAACAACAACAACCGCCCCAAGCAGCAGCGCCTCCCACCGAACAACCACCACCCAGCCTCCTCCCTCTTCCCACACAGCCTTCTCCTCTCCCCCGCTCATCCCCCACCAACCCCAACTCCAGCCTTTACCTCTTCACCCTCACCCCCCGAGCCAACCCCACCCCCCAGCGAGCACCACCACCACCTCCCACCTCCCCCCCACCCCCTCAACCCTCAGCACCCCCTCCGAAATCGACCAAGCCCGCTCCGCCGTCCTCGCCAGCATAGGCAACCTAGTGGACCGGGAACTCAGCACCCGCGCCACACAACTGCACGCCAACAACGCCGCCATCGAGCGACAGGAGCGGGAGTTAGGTAGGGCGACGGCCGGGTTGAAGAGGGAGAATGATAAGTTGGCACGGCTTGCTGAGACGCATACGAGGAAGGTGAAGGAGATTGGGAACGTGCAGAATTGGGCGGAGATGTTGGAGAGGGAGTTTGTTATTTTGGAGGAGACGCTAAGGTTGGTGGGGAAGAGGGGGGATAAGGGGGAGGGGGATAGCGGGAATGGAAGCGAGGGGGGGAGTGAAGGGGGGAGTGGGAGTGGGAGTGGGAGTGAATGGGATAGTGGGAGTGATGATGGGGAGCGAGATGGGGGCGATGGTCGGGATGAAGAGGGGGAAGTTGAGACGCCAGGGAGGGAAGAAGACAACGAAGATGCGGCCAGAGACAGTAAGGTCAAAGGAAAACAGCCCGAACGGAGGGACAGAGACGGGGATGTGTTGATGACAGACCGGCCAGAGACTGTTCCATTGCCAGAGCTAGTACCAGGGGAGGATATCTGAACTGGATACTCTTTTAAAACAGGACAAATCATGAACTATGACTAACGAAACACGAATCCATCGACTCACGAATTACGAATCTATAGTATACTTTCACTCCCCAGCCATCGTACACCCCCTTTTGATCACCCTTGACCAGAACACCCTTGACCGGACACCATCGTACACGATTACATTACTACCCTACACCTGTGCTCCTGCACTCAAATCAGCCCCGGCAGCATGGTGTACCGCTTCTTCTTGTACCGATCGCCAAACTCATTCCGCAGCGCCTTCTCCTTCCCCCGCGACCAGCTGCGCATGTACACAATCCCCGTGCAAATAAACGCCACAACAGCCCAGCTGCGGCTGATCAAGATAACCCCCACCCACGCCAGCACCTCAAACATATAGTTCGGGCTCGTCACCAGCCCACTCCCAATACAATTCGGAATCCCCTTCTCCGTACCGCCCGGCTTCCTTAGACTCGCCAGATGCTGGTGCACAATCCAATTACACGTCTCGCCCACCGCAAACAACGCCAACCCAACATAATCCAACGGCACCAGCTCCTCACGCGCGGCCATGTTGCCGGGGGCGTAGATATCCAGCGCGCACAGCAGACCAGCCATGAGCCAGTAAAAGGCCGAGTTGCGCACGATGTTGCGGGCGGGCATGGTGTTGGCGGAGAACTTGTGCACGAAGACGGTCTCGTACTCGCGCTTGAGGAAGTGCAGCTGGAAGAGGCCGAAGAGCAGCCATTGGACCTGGGTGATGGGGGTGGTGGCTTCGTCTTTGTAGTCGAAGGGGGGGATCAGGTAGATGTAGGGGCGGACGAGCGGGATGAAGGCGTGGAAGAGGATCGGGCCGAAGTACTCGATCACGAAGACGGTGCGCCAGGCGACTTGGGGGCCTGTTGTTATTAGCAATCATTCTGTGTAGGTCTACATCTCCAAGTAGGGAGTATGAATCCCCAGAGATAGATAGCGACAAGGGACAGATAAGGAGAGAGAGACGTACCCAAATCCTTGACGACCAGCTCGCCGGTAGAGATAACCCCCGCCTCGTCCCGCACCAGGGCCCGGCGGTTTTTGAGCGTCTGCTTGGACACCGGGTCGTACAGGCCGATGCGGTTGTAGTCGGTGAAGCCGGACAGGCGGGCGATGGCCGCCTTAGCCTCCTCGACGGTGGCATTGGGGTCCAGCTCGACCGACTCGGGCAGCCGGCGGATCGGCTTCTTGGGCGCCCGATTGCTGAGCTTGAGCGAGAGCTTGGTGGCCATGGTGGATGTTTGCCAATGCAAGTGGTCTAAGAGACGGGTTTGGAGGGAAAGGTGGAAAGAATGGTGGCCGGGAATGGGCTTGCGGGAAGAAAAGGGAAGCACGCAGCTGCCAGCTTGGGACCTCGGCGAGCTCAACTTTTTGGAGGTGGGTCCGCCAGGTGTCATTGCATTGGGAGTGCCGCTAAACCCATTGGGGATTAGGCGCGCCAAGATGACGCTTTGGGCTGCTCACCGCTCTGGCCCAGGAACGGATGTTGAGGCGGCAGAAATGTGGACCCCACCCAAAGCAAGCAACTTTTTTTATCGGCAAGTCGCCGAGCATCATCCCAAAAAAAGTTTAAAAAGCAGCGGCCGTCTCTCGATTGATCAATCGATTCAACGAGCAACCCCGCCACACAGAACTCGTGCTGGAGCGTCTCCGACCGGCTCACCATGGACGACCTCTTTGCCGTGTTCGAGGAGCAGCCTCGCGCGCCCAAGCGCAAGGCCGACGCCAGCGATGTCGAAATGACCGACCGCGCTGGGAACAGCAATGGTAGCGGTAACGATGCCGGTGGCGGCGGGACAGCGGCAGCAGTCGATAAAGACGAGGAAATGGCCCCAGCAGAAACAGCAGAAACAGCAGAAACATCAGAAACATCAGAAACATCAGAAGCGAACGGCGATGCACACGAAGGACCAGGCGACAGCAAGAGAATCAAGCTCCAAGACGAAGCCGAGCCCATCATCACCGACACGTTTCAAACGGCCGAATCAAGAGAGGTCAACGCGGCGCAAGGGTTTGCGCCATCCACCGAAGAGGGCTCGCTCGTGCTGTCACACAACATCCAGCACCAGGTCGCACTCCCGCCAGATCTCGACCACGAGTACATCCCGCTGTCGGAACACAAGCCGCCCGCGGAACCGGCGCGGACGTACCCGTTCCGGCTGGACCCGTTCCAGGCTTTGTCGGTGGCGTCAATCGAGCGCGAGGAGAGCGTGCTGGTGTCGGCGCATACCAGTGCCGGCAAGACGGTGGTGGCCGAGTACGCGATCGCGCAATGCCTGAAGAAGAACCAGCGGGTCATCTACACGAGCCCGATCAAGGCGCTCAGCAACCAGAAGTACCGGGACTTCCAGGCGGACTTTGCGGACGTGGGCCTGATGACGGGCGACGTGACCATCAACCCGACGGCCAGCTGCTTGGTGATGACGACGGAGATTCTGCGGTCGATGCTGTACCGCGGGTCGGAGATCATGCGCGAGGTGGCGTGGGTCATCTTTGATGAGATCCACTACATGCGCGACAAGACGCGCGGGGTGGTGTGGGAGGAGACGATCATCCTGCTGCCGGACAAGGTACGGTACGTGTTCCTGTCGGCGACAATCCCGAACGCGTTCCAGTTCGCCGAGTGGATAGCCAAGATCCACCGGCAGGCATGCCACGTCGTGTACACCGACTTCCGGCCGACGCCGCTGCAGAACTACTTTTTCCCCGCCGGTACGAAGGGTATCCACCTGATCGTGGACGAGAAGGGCAACTTCAAGGAACACAACTTCAACGTGGCGATGGCGGCGATCGAGAGCAAGAAGGGGGCGGACCCGGCCGACTGGAGCGCGAAGCAGCGGGGCACCGGGAAGAACAAGAAGACCGATAAAGGCGGGGCGGCCGCGGACGAGAAGACGGACATTGCGCGCGTGGTGCGCATGATCATGAAGCGGGACTTCCAGCCGGTGATTGTGTTCAACTTTGCGAAGCGCGAGTGCGAGCAGATGGCGCTGGCGACGTCGAGCATGAAGTTCAACAACGAGAACGAGGTCAGCATGGTCGACAGCGTGTTCGAGAACGCGCTGAACTCGCTGTCGGACGACGACAAGGGCCTGCCGCAGATCTCCAACCTGCTGCCGCTGCTGCGCAAGGGCATCGGCGTCCATCACTCGGGCCTGCTGCCGATCCTGAAGGAGACCATCGAGATTTTGTTTCAGGAGGGTCTGATCAAGGTGCTGTTCGCGACGGAAACCTTCTCGATCGGCCTCAACATGCCGGCCCGGACAGTCGTGTTTACGCAGGTCACGAAGTGGGACGGTGTGCAGCGGCGGCCGCTGACGTCGTCCGAGTACATCCAGATGGCCGGGCGCGCAGGTCGTCGTGGGCTGGACGATCGTGGTATCGTCATCATGATGATTGACGACAAGCTTGAGCCGGAAGTCGCGCGCAGCGTGGTGGTCGGACAGCAGGACCGGCTCAACTCGGCGTTCCATCTGGGGTACAACATGATCCTCAACCTGCTGCGCATCGAGGCCATCTCGCCCGAGTTCATGCTGGAGCGGTGCTTCTTCCAGTTCCAGAACGCGTCCAACGTGCCGCAGATCGAACGCGAGCTGGCGGGTCTCCAGCAGAAGCGCAACGACATCATCATTGCCGACGAGGCCGCCGTCAAGGACTACCACAGCGTGCGCACGCAACTGGACGGGTACAACAAGGACATGCTGGCCGTCATCCAGCACCCGACGTACTGCCTCAAGTTCATGAAGATGGGCCGGCTCGTCGAGATCGAGACGCCCGAGGGGGTCAACTACGGCTGGGGCCTGGTGGTCGACTTCCGCGCCCGCAAGAAGCCCAAGACGCGCCAGGGACAGCCCCAACCGCCCGATTACCCCCCGCAAGAGTCCTACATCCTCGACGTGCTGCTCAAGCTCTCCACCACCGACAGCCCAGCGATCGATAACATCGCCTCCCGGCCCAGCACCCTCGACACGGCCATTCCCCCGGGCCTCCACCCGGCAGCGCGGACTCCCAACACCAACGGCAGTGATAGCGAATCCCAATTCCGGTGGGAAGTCGTCCCCTGCCTCCTCCACTGCACCAAAACCATCTCCCAAATCCGCCTGCACGCCATCCGCAGCCTCCAATCCCCCGACGACCTGCTCACAGCCGGCCAAATGGTCCAAGAAACCCAACGGCGCTTCCCCGACGGCCTACCCCCCGTGGACCCCCTCGAAAACATGGGCATCACCGACGAGTCCTTCAAGAAACTCCTCCGCAAAATCGAAGTCCTCGAATCCCGCCTGCTCGCCAACCCCCTCCACCACTCCCCCACCCTCCCGGCCATCTGGGAACAATTCACCGCCAAACAGGCCCTCACCGACGAAATCAAATCCCGCAAACGCGCCCTCGCCCAGGCCCACAGCATCGCGCAACTCGACGAGCTCAAAGCCCGCAAGCGCGTCCTCCGCCGGTTGGGGTTCATCAACGAGGCGGAAGTAGTCCAAATGAAAGCCCGGGTCGCCTGCGAAATCTCCTCCACCGAAGGCCACGAGCTGCTGCTCGCCGAGTTGCTATTCAACCGGTTCTTCAACGAACTCTCCCCGGAACTCTGCGCGGCCGTGCTGAGCGTGTTTATCTTTGACGAAAAAGTCGAGACGGCAGAGCTGAAGGAGAATTTGGCGAAACCGTTCCGGGAGATTCAGGCGCAGGCGCGGATTGTGGCGAAGGTGGGCGCCGAGAGTAAGATGGAGGTGAATGAGGAGGAGTATGTGCAGAGTTTGAAGTGGCAGTTGATGGAGACTGTTTTGGCGTGGGCGGGGGGGAGGCCGTTTGCTGAGATTTGGTGTGTTCTCTTATCCCTTCCTATTTCTCCCTATCCTATCCCCCTATCCTATCCCCCTATCCCCCCAAGATATACCAGAAGAAGAAGCAGTGCTAACCAGTGAGAAAAGCAAAATGACAAACGCCTACGAAGGCTCCCTAATCCGGCTCTTCCGTCGCCTCGAGGAGTTACTCCGACAGATGGCCGAAGCCGCCAAGGTCATGGGCAGCGAGGAGCTCAAGGACAAGTTTGAGCTGAGCCTGGCGCGGATTAGGCGGGATATTGTGTCGTTTAATAGTTTGTATTTGTAGGCTTTTTACGTACATTGTCTGTGCTCCATACACTGTCTGTGCTCCATACACTGTCTACGACTTACGACAGTAAGGAGGGGAATGAGTTATGAGAAAGGGGCAAAGAGGTGGATGGTAGAGAATGACAAGAGGGGAGAGAGGCAGGGTGAAAAGAGGGAGAGGGATAAAAACGTCGGCGTTTGTTACCTGTTATTTTGTTGTTTATTTCTGCCTGTTTCGTTCCAATCTGGGCGGCTGGGCTGGGCTGGCGTTGAACGGTAACTTGGGGTGGGTCGGCTTATTGGTTTTTGTTTTGGTGGGACGCGGGAATGAATACCAGATTTGACTGGGAGATGTCGAAGTAACTGGGATCTCGTTGTTAGAGTATCTGTGAGGGATTAGAGTAGTGAGGAATGAGAGAGTAAAAGACAAGTCAGGGAGGGTGTGAAGAATCAGAGAGTACGTGAGAGAGTAGGTTGAAACAGGAAGCAACTAATTCGAGATGCTCACTGTAGGTCTGGTAAACTGAGGAAGGATGTTACAGTTTGTTGATAGGGAGCTGGGTCAATTGAGCCGGAGCCTCCATCAATATCTTCCCATATTTCCTTTCTGTCAATGGAATGGTTCCTGTCATGGAATGAATATCACGCTGTATTGGGTATCAAATGCTCCTATCCCGGATCCCGCTTTAACCAGCCACCGGTATGTTATGCCTGTCCTATCTAACCTTGCCATCACCTTATTCCCTATATTCTCCATCAACCTGAACATGACCTAATCACCGTCTCGACCATTATATCTCACCACCTCATCACCATCTCATCACCATCTCACCATGACCCCATCCTCAATTCCATTCAGTTAACCCTCCCCCGTCAACCCCCTCACCCAACCCACCGACACACTCAACAACACCCCAAACACCACAAAAACCTGCATCCTCCTCGACCACACCCCCTCCTCCTTCCCCAACCACCCAATCACCCCCAAAGGAAACACAAACCCCACCAACATCCCCTGAATCAACGGTCCCGCCACCGCCGCCAGTCCAAATACATCATCCACTCCCCCTCCTCCTCCTTCCCCTTCTCCCTCTCCATTATTATTGAGGTTACTGCCGTAGGGAGAGGAGGAAGTAGCGGTAGTAGGCAGATGAGAACCCCCATCGAGCCAGGCGTCTTCCATGGCGCGCAGGGTGTCGGGCGAGGGCATGGTGTCGGGAGCGAAACGGGAGGTGTGGATGGCGCGGAAGTGGGAGCGGAGGGTGGAGATTTCGGAGGGGGTGAGGCCGGCTTGGGTTAGGCGGTCGAAGCCTAGGGGTGCTGCTCCTGTTGCGCGGTCTCTTTCTCGGTCTGTGGTGGTGGCAGTGGTGGGGGTTCTGAGAGAATGGGGGGCCAGGTTGGTGTTGACTGAGAGATGGGGGGGTGTGCTACCGGGTTTGGAACCCAATGAAGAGGGAATAGGCGATGGAGACGGGGACAAGGCCGGCGGGGCGGTGGCGGCTGTGGCTTCGGTGGTGATATCGGATGCGGGCAGGGGGTCACCGATGCTGCAGTTGATGAAGACGCGCTGTTGCTGCTGGATGCCGGCGGGGGATTTGCCTTTGGAATCGGACCGGGCGGAGAGGGGAGGTGGTGGGGGGGCTTTGAGTACCGCGCTGAGGGCTGCTGCGTCGGGGAGGATGCGGCCGTTGTGGATGAAGCGGAGGCGGGCGAGGGAGGCCTGGGCTGCGGGTGAGTGTTTCTTGGGTTTCTGGGGTTTCTTAGGGGGGTCATTGTTGATGTTATTGGTCTCGTCGTCATCGTCGGAACTACTACTATTCGAGGTATCGTCGTCGGTACTACTACTTGAGGTCTCGTCTTTCGTATCGTCTTCCGACTCAGTCCCTGCCTCTGCCTCTGCTGCTGCAGCAAGCCGCCCGCGAATAAGGTGCTTCAGCGCCACAACGGTCGTCTGCTGCGGCAGCGGGATGTCAAGATGTAGATCCGGCAGGGCGATGCTGAAGCGTATGGTGATGTGCAAAGGCGGGGGCGCAGGCGCAGGCGGGAAGAGCAGGGCAGAGGGACTGCGCGGGAGTAGAGGGCGGGCATCGCGGGGGATGGCGAGACGGGGTGTTCGAGGTGTACGAGTTGGGGACGACGGGGACGACGCGGACGACGAGGCGGCGGACGAGGGACTGGCCCTGTCGGCGCCGTGGTGTCTGGCGCTGCTCATCGGGGTGTTACCGTGGTCATTGAAGTGCGACGTTGCGCGTTGTGGTCCCAGAGTTGTGGTTCCAGAGTTGAACGATGGGAAGTGTCAATTTTAGGTTGCGCGAGGCAAAAGATCAGCGCCCGCTGAGCTTCGACCTGCAGCAGCATCATACTTATGTAATCAGTCCGGGAAGAGAGTGGGGCCACACTTTTGGAAGTTCAAGGGTTAGGGTGTATTTACACCTGTATCGCGAAAGGTAAACTCTGAATTGATCGTAATGCAACAAACACGGCAATTACTCAATACACTCATATCTCATCCATCGTCCATGTCATCGTCCATGTCATCGTCCATGTCATCGTCCATGTCATCGTCCATGTCATCGTCCCTGTCATCGTCCCTGTCATCGTCCATACCATTGTCCATCCTGTCGCCCATCCCATCGCCCATTGCATCCCATACCGTGAATCGGACCGAGTAAAAAGCAGGGAAAATAACGAGAAAGCTGGAGAGTAACCGTGAGGTCTAACTCATCGGCGTTCTCATCGACGTTCGCATGAACGTTGAAATGAGAAAACAAAACAAAACAAAACAAAACAGGGGTGTGAACTTTGCCCTTGTCAAAGGTGTCGGCAAAGCTATCGGAAATGTCAAGACCGAAAAAAACAGAAAAAAAGGAGAAAACTAATTCACCCTCGTGTCGACTTGTCATGTCGAAAATCCACGTCGAAAAGAAAAACGAAACGAGAAACGAGGCGAGAAACAGGTAGTCCTTGACTATCCACCAGCAGCTCTGCCCTCAGCGTGAAATTAGAGAGAGCAAAGAAGAGAGATACTCATCTCCCAAACCGGCGCCGTCCCAACCGGCCCCAGAAATTCGACACAGCCAGCTGGGTGCGCTCCCGCCGGCGTGTATGCCGCAGCGTGCGCTCGCGGGCTTCCAGGCTGCTGACGATGTGGTGCACCATGCCCTCCCAGGCGGCCAGGACATTGTCGTTGGCGTGGACCGAGCACTCGCCGTATCCGTTGGCGTGGATTGAGGAGGCGGTTTGTTGGCCCTGTTTGTGTTAGTCTGTATATCTAGCATCGGGTAGAAAGGGTAGTATGGAGGGAGGTTGACATACTATCTCAGGAGAGACTCGCTGGCTGCTAGGCGGCAGGAAATTCAGGCCCAGCCCCGGAAAGGTCGGGCGGAGATCGCGCTTGAGGCCGAGCACAAAGGTCTGGCCGTCGTGTAGGCACATGTCGAGCTTGGGCTTCCACTGGTTTGGCAGCCCTCGAGTCAGCACTCCCAGTGAATTCCCTTTTGATATTCACGGCAGAAGAAACAGAAACAAGAACTCACGACACCCCCAACACTGGCCAGGTTCTTCTGGTCGTCCAGGGCAAAGCAGATAACCGCGGCATGGAAAAAGGTCGACATCAGTGTACCCGGATGCCCGGTTGCGATGGAACTGGGGAAATCCCACAGCTCGACGTTGGCTGCGGTGCCGTGGCGGGTGCGCACGACGACAGATCCGAAGTGAAGGTCGGTAGTCGAGGTCGTGGTCTAAATTGTTAGCATCGATGCCATAACCGAGAACGAGGAAGAGTAACATACCGTATCAAAGGAACTGCCCATCACAGCCCTGATTCAAATTCACAGGTTAGCACAATCCCATAAAACCAAAGTACCACCACCACAAAATCCCACAAAACACCCCAAACCCCCGTGAAAAAAAGCTCACCGAAAAAAATCCGTCTTCCCCGTGCCAGCATCACCCACCAAACAAATCTTGATCGTCCTCCGCACCTCTTCCACAGCCAGAACACCACTCCGCACACTCCCAGCACCATTTCCAGCACCATTTCCAGCACCACCAACAGCAGCACCAGCACCAGCACCAGCAGCACTGCCAATAGTACCGTTCCTAACACTCCCCACACCACGCGAGAGAAGCCCAAACGGAGACATGGCCCTGGCCGCAGCGGAGACGGATCTAGTTGGGACGAGGCCGGGAAGGACGGGGAGGCCGTGGCCGTTATTGTGACTGCCAGTTTGGACGTGGCTGTTATAGTGAGCGTGGGCTTGGCCGTGATTATGGCCGGGAAGAGCAGGAACCTGGGAAGCGGGTCCATAAAGAGAACCAGCAGCACCGGATGTGCCGGGGGTGATGGGCGTGCTCGACACGAACGGGGTTGTCGGGCCCGGCGAGGTGGGTGAGACGGGTCCGGACGAGACTGGCACAGCTGAACCAGGCGGAGCCGGAGCAGACACGGCCGGGGCAGCCAGAGCAGCCGGACCAAAAGCAGCCGGACCAAAACCAGGAGAAACAACCGGGACAGCCAGAGACGAGGCAAGAGGGGTCTCGGCGCTGTGGTTGAGGTTGGTCTGCTGCTGCTGCTGCTGCTGAGTATGATGGTGTCGGCCCACAACACGCTGAAAGACTGCGCCGAGACTGCGGCCGAAGCCGAGGCGGGTGCGCTTGCGGGCCGGTTCGGCGGTGTCGGGGTTGGTTGGGTCGGGGTTGGCGGGGTGCTGGGGCCGGGGGTGTTAGTGTTAGCGGGGGTTATGGTTATGGTCATGGTTGTGGTTCTAAGGGGGGTTG